GCGTCGAAGTGGACTTTCCCAAAGGCCCACCGATGCGGTTCTCGACGTCTGCGAAAAGCCAATCACAGTTGCTATTTGGGCCTGCGGCGAATAGCATGCCTGCACCCGTCCCGAGCAAATCTATCTGTCTGGCCAAGAACCTTCAAGGCCGACCCAGCCAATTAACGCTCTCTCTCTCTTTCCACTGGCCTGAATGCTGTCAAACCAGCACTTGGACGCGGCTGGCTCTCCTGGCTGGTCGTGTGCTACCAAGTCTATCTCTTTTTATCTATTCTCCGTTCGGCTGTGTATACAGTATACTGTTTCTAACACTCTGCCCTCTGCCGACTTCTTCTCTACTAATTAACCATGGTCTGAAGATCGCAGTTGCTAGGGTTTAACTTGCTTAACCCCCTGCGATACGGCCGCCCCGGGCAATCGTATAATGCTTGTCCGTGCGAAATAATACCCTATATGGTCCGTCATAGGGCTGTGGTAGTGGCCGACGAACACTGTCTACGCAGACAAATACAAAGGAACACGTTAGTAAGTTAGGGTCGGTGTACGTGCTGAAGTACGTGGAGCAATTGCATGGAGATGAGACATGGCTTGGCGCACTCTTTTCACATAATCCGTGGGATCCAAGTTGGCTGAGCTTTGAGAGTGCCCGAAAAAATAGCCGTTAACCCGTAGCGTAGTGCCGTAAACAAGTTCGGCAGAGGAGCACTCCAAGTCGGGCTTGAGAGCAGTACGAATGCTAAGCATGACCAAAGGCAGATGCTCGCTCCAATGGGAAGGATTGTCATGAGCTCGGATCGAGGCTTTGAGTTGACGATGGAAACGCTCGACTAAACCATTTGACGAGGGGTGGTATGCTGTCGTGCGTATGCGAGGACACCCGAGTAGGTCGGTTAGGCTGTTAAAAGGTTTAGACTCAAATTGTTGGCCTAGATCGGTGGTAATAGTTGAGGGGACGCCATAATGGGAGATCCAGTGTTCCAAGAAGGCGTGAGCAACCGAATCTGCAGTTATATTAGGTGTTGGAGTTGCACGAATAAATTGGCCAATCGCAGTAAGTAAATAGTTGCAACCACAGGATTTTGGCAAAGAACCTACCAGATCAGTATGAACGTGTGAAAAACGTGCGTCAGGTGCAAGAAAAGTGCCAATTGGTGCTTTGTTGTGTCGTCCGACCTTGGCCTTCTGGCAGGCCAGGCATGAACGGGTCCACTGGCGGATGTCAGTGTTCATGCTTAGCCAGACGAAACGCTCATTGACCAGGCGCTGGGTGCTGAGGATGCCAGGATGAGAAAGATTGTGCAACGCGCCAAAAACGTCTCGTCGCATTTCACTTGGCACTACAGGTCGGGAGGCAACGCGTGATACGACACACAAGATTGTACAGGAGGTTGTGGACAGAGGAATGGCCTCGAGTTGAAGACTAGTATATTTAAGGCTTTGAGTAAAGGTCGGTTGGTCTTGCATTTCTGTCATGCGCTGTAAT